TTTACTTTAGTTTTAGAGTCAGAATGGAGAAAACTACATTCATCAGGTGACTAGCTATAATGCAAGTATTAGGAATTTATCTGAAACGTCAATTAAAATACCAACTGGAATATATATTACCACCTCATTAAATGGGGTTGGTTTTAAATTACTAAGACTGCTCATGTAGTAAGTAACATAGGCATCCCCTCCATTCATGGATTAAGACCTGGAGAGAAAGTATAGCCTGTACTACCAAACAGTGGGAACACAAATAAGTTTGCTCCTGAGATCCAGGCACCTCTTTTAGTGCATATTCTTATGTGTTCATTGTCTGTAAAAATAAAATAAAAACCTATTGTGTTCCATCAGTGTAAACTGTTTGAGTCCTGTGAATTCTTTCAGTAATCAAAAACTTAAGGTGGTGATTATGAAAGTAACACAGGTGGAACAGAAAAACCACACCTCTGGATAATACACAGAGAGGAAAATGAAGCAGGAATTAAGCTGCAAGATTTCTATCATACCCAGCTTCTTATTTTTCAAATTTCACTGAAGAAAAAAACATGATTTTAAACATAATATACATTTAAATTTGTAAAGTAACAAACATGCACATAGAAACACTCACATATCAAAGGAATTGTTTCAAGCTATTCATCACCCAGGTTCATGGAAGAATATCAGAAGCTCCTGAAAACACCCCTCATGTTCCTTATCAAGATCTATTCCCCTCAGATAACTACTAGTCTAACTTATTTCACCAGAAATTAATTTTCATAGATTTCAATAGAGTGTATTTACAGGTTTGTGAACTCTGTTATGTTTTGTATATGGTTATTGCCACTCAGTAATATTTATATAAAATTTGTCCCCAATGGTGTGTGTGGCAGTCGCTCATTCAAATCTGCGTGGCTGTATTATATTCCATCCATATTGTATATTGCAATTTATTTGTACAAAATACTGTTGATTCACATTAGTGTTGATTTTAGTTTAAGATTCTTAAGAATGATACTGATAAGAACATGGGGTACATATAGTTAGTGCGCATATATATTATTTCTGTTTGCTATATACCTGAGTGGAACCACTTGTCGTGAGATTTGAGAATGTTTATCTTGCGCGAAGGCTGACATGTTTCCATGGTGCTTATGCCAGTTTACGTTTCCATTAGCATTGCTCAGCATGCTGTTGCTTGTTGTTGCAAACATTTGGCATGGAGATTCTTTTATTTCATCATATTATTTCTGATGACTGTGTCATGATATTGTATGGCAGCTTTAATTTGCATTTTCCCAAGGACTAATGATGCCAAATACCTTTCCATATGTTTATTGGCCAGTTAAGGTATTCTCTTTTTGTGAAGTGTCGATGCAGTCTTTTTCCTAATAATATTGTATCAGTTATCATTCGCATTAAAATAGCTCAATTAAATTTAAGCAAGTTAGAGACTGGATCCAGAAGAAAAGTTATGCTTGACCATGTCAGGTTTGAGATATTAATTAGATACTCGGGTGTGGAGGCCAAGAAGGCAAGTGAATGTATGAGTTTGGAGATGAAGATAGAAGGTTGAAGATATACATTTAGATGCTGTCAGACTATGGATGAATTAAAGCCATAGAATAAATCCATATCAGCCAGAGAAAGGTTAACTCCTAGGGTACTCCAACCCTAAAAGGTTTGGAAAGGAAATATCAGATGGGAGACTGCAAAGAAGTGGCTAGTGAGTGAAGAGAGAATCCAAGGTTTTAACAGTTTTAGAATTTCAAATGAGATGTCAAAAAAATAATAATTATTATTATCAACTCTACCAAATAGCACTGAGAGGATGGGTAATGTAAATACAGTTTATCAAGAATGTAGTTGGGAAAATACGTGGTTTCAGTAGGGACAAAAGCTTGATGGGACTAGGCTGAAGAGAGAATAACATATGAGATCATTGAAAAGGCAGTATGGCCCTGGCCAGTTCGGCTCAGCGGTTAGAGCGTCGGCCTGCGGCCCAGAGAGACCAGGGTTCAGTTCCCGCTAAGGGCACCTACCTTGGTTGCAGTTTGTCTCCGGCCCTGGTTGGGTCGTGTGGAAGGCAGCCACTCAATACATCCCTTTCACGTCGATGTTTCTCTCTCTTTCTCTCTCTCCCTCCCACTCTATTTGAACAAAAAATGGAAAAATGTCCTTGGGTGAGGATTAAAAAAAAAAAAAGGCAGTATGGATATGTCTATGCTAATTGCCAGAGAGTAACCTAAAGTACTAGGAGGGGTTTGGAGGTGTACTCTTAATGATGGATTTTATTTTTTAAATGTAAGATGGAAGAGATGGTAGAATAAGTTTGATTTGCTCTTGATCCTGAAGGTGATAAAAACATTCAGAGTACAGGAAAGATGGAATAATTACTAGAGATGAATCACTGTGTGAACTCAATTGGATGGACTTGAGTGTACACTGCAGGATTGGTAGAGGGATAATTCCTCACAAAGAAATAATTACTTGATAGATGAGACAATTAATATCAGTGATCCCGTACATTTCAGGTCTTGAGAACTTCTTGCTAAAACCCTGTAACCCAGCTCGTTATGATTGCGGTGTTGGCTCTTGTCGCTCTGATACAAGTCAAGTCCTTAATATGGTGCAACAGGAACCACTTATCATGTAATGTCCTGTGCAGTGCACTAATCACATTCAAACCTCAGTAAAACCCTTCGAGTTGGCTATTACATAGATGTGGAAATTCAAGCTCAAAAAACTCGGGTAACTTTCAAAGTATGATTTAGCTGCTATGTTGCAGAGCTGTGAAGCAGATTTCACATTTAAACCTCTTTGCGGGGTGACCATAAAATTTTATATCTGATGCTAGTTACTTCTGAGGATGAAAGGCATCGGTGTAACAGGTTAACGGGGACTATGGGTGTAAAAGAGGACTCTAGAACACAGCTTATGACTATCTTTTCCCTCTACTTTTTGATATATTTTAATATTCAAATCAAAGCATTCCACTCACTTTCAATCTTTCATGGCTATTTTCAACAGCAGTAATAATTTAAAGTTAACATTAAAAAGAGCAATTATGTTTGAAAGGTTTTAATAAAGTCAGGACAACTTAATATGCATAAAGGATTAATTTATTGAAATGACTGTTTAGGAAATAGTAATAAAAAGCACAATTTCAAAATCTATTTTTTACATATTTTTGAAATACCAATTCAAAATTGTAATTTGTGATACTCTTTAAATGAAAATTTGGGAAATAGATGCTTTGAGTCAAATTCAAATTAAGATGAATGTTGTATAATACATAAAATTAATAAGGAAGTAGATTTTCATTTTTTTCATGTAGAATCAATTAAAAATTGTTACTTTTTCCTGCTAGTGTGGTACAAAGATCAAAATGATGCCACATTTCCAGTCGCAGTCAATTCTGTGGAATATAAAACAAATATAGAATTAGTTATATTTTATGACATAACCACACATCTCTCTCTATTTGTAATTTTGGTATGACTAATTATTTCAGAAAAATTTTATTACAAATGCATCATGTTGTGCCCCATCTTGTATATAAAATTCTTCAAAGACCAATACCATTTAACTTGGAGTTATTTTAATGAAATATCTAGTCTAACATAATCACTAAAACATTTGTATGTTAAGTATCTCGAAGCTATATTTTCTCCCCTTTTTAATCCTCACACTGGGAATAATTCATTTTATTTTGATCCATGAATTAAACAACAATATATAAATTTTAAATGTGATGAACTATCAAATTTTACGGAGCCTAAGGTAGAAATGAGAATGCAAGTTGATTTTTAACAAGTGCTCAAACATATTTACATAAAAGTAGATAAAAGTATTTTTATTATCCAGCATAAGGACATGGGTACTTGAAAAAAAAAAAAATTCAAATCTGTCAATAACACAATTAAAATTAATGAAATACATGCTGTATAATTTCAGGTAAACATAATAGTGAACTACTTAGATGTTCATGACACATTGATAATTAATAAATAATTTTGTATTAGCTATAAAAATAATCACTCTAATCTACACACTCCTAAAATTTACCAAATGAGGAGCAAACATGACCTTTGAATTTCTCTTAAACCTTTAAAAAATAATAAGCATACAATTCACTTTTTGGCAAGAACATTCTAAAATTTCATTGGTTGGGGGAGTGGATGGAGGTAGAAGAAGCTAAAGGGAATAAAAGGTGATGGAAAATAATAAATTAAAATAAATAAATAAATGATGAGTAATAAACTAACAATCTCAATTGTGCCCAGCCAGTGTGGCTCAGTGGTTGAGTGTCAACCCTTGCACCAAGAGGTTGCAGGTTCGATTCCGGGTCAGGAAACATGCCCAGGTTGTGGACCTAACCCCTAGCAGGGGGCATGCAGGAAGTGGCCAACTGATGGTTTCTCATTGATGTTTCTATCTCTCTCTCCCTCTCACTCTCTAAAATCAATAAAGAAAAAAACAGTTTTTAAAAAGAATCTCATTTGTTTGCTATCACATGTACATATATCAAAAACAAGATGTGCATTAAAGCATGTAGAGAATAGATGTGCACAAGGAAAATTTCAAAAATGGAGATAATAAAACTTCTCTATTCTACAGTCAGATCACCAAATTTAATTCTGTCTTTAGTAAATTTTAATTCTATTTATCTATATTCTCAACAGATCAATTAAATCAGAATCTCTGAAATTATTTCTTCCAAATACTTAGTATCTTCTACATAGAAAATCAGAACAATCATAACTAAATCTCCATGAGCAGACCTAGATGTTGGGATTTTTGGGGAAAACAGGTTTTCTAGGTTATTTTTTTTGTGTAACTAGTGTTGAGAATCCTTGATGTAAACTATGTGCATTTGGATATTCATTCAATAATCATTTATTCTTTTATTCTGAATCTCTCACTTCTTCTAATATCATATCCACATCATGAATGAAACAACAGAGTTAGTAAATTGGAACTTACTTGTTGGAAATTGAGAACTGGGCCATTAGACTCAGTTACAGGGTAGAACTCCAAGGTAGCAGAGGCTCTTGGAACAGCACAAAAGCTTGGATAGGCATAGCTCTCTGGAGTTGGGTCATCACATTTTGGAAAAAGGGCAGGACTTTGGGCTGAGAAAGGGAGAACAGGGACTGGGTAGGAAGCATGGGAGTCTGAACAAGAGTCTGGGGGACCTGGGACATCAGGGCCTGGAGCACAGGCAGAGGAAGCTGTGCGTTTCTTAGATCAGTGAGATTTGGGATTTGGCGCTGAATAATTGGCACTACAGGAGACTTAAGAAGTGGCATCACTTTGTGCTTAGGAAAGACGGTCTCCTTGGTACTGGGGACTCCCATCACTTCAGGCTGAAGGACAGGCAGCACCATAGCAGGCTGAGCAAGAGGCAGGGCGTTCTGTGGAAGGACAGGGTAAGGGATGGGCTCAGCGTAAGGATTGGGAAGAGGCTGCGGCTGGACAATGGTCTGGATTTGAGCCTGGCGCTCATCCTGAAAAAACAGAAAAAGAATCTTTGAGTCTATGATTCAGCTATAATTATTATTCACGATGAATTATCCTCCTCCCTATTGAAGAAACCTGAGAGAGAGAACAAAATCTTTTTCTTATGCTGGTTAAGACTTTATATTGGCGTCATGTGAAGACAAGTTAAGTACTCTTGCAGGATGTCTCATTAACCCACTCCCTTCATAGCTGGACCCAGATCACACTGAAATCAATGTTTGGGGATTTCAGGCTTGTTTCTCCTGCTGTGAGTTGCCTTCAACAGCTGTGGGTAGCAGTGCAGCTTGGAATGCAGAGGGCATGAACTTTTCAACATAATGTGATAATAGTAGACCAAATTGTTTTCATATAATGAAGATTAATATTGAAAAGACTTAGAGGAATGTTTCCAAGTTTTACTTCTGTTTGTTTTAATGAAAAATAAGTCTTAACTTGAGGTTTGATTGAAGTAGTTACTCAACACCACTACCTTCCAGCACTAATTTTCCTTGGTAGATGGCCTTTCCTGTGAATCTTTATAGGGGCATCATTTTGTAAATTAGTTTTATTTAGGAAAATATTTGATGTAAGTTCTAAGCAAACCCAAGCCATTGATAAACTAGGGAAATTGAAATATTACAATTAAATAAACATGTTCCCACATGTGTAATTTAATTAAAGAATTCTTGTTGTCTTAGAAAACCTTTGTTTTTAAGCATCTCTGCTGCTCAGTAACAGTGTGACGTTGTCGCACAGTTGTGTGCTCTGTTGTCCTGCCTCTCATGCCTCTCATCTGTGCAGTGGGAATTTTTTTATGAAGTGCATGACTCATAGATGTTAATATGAAACATATACAATTTTAAGGTAAGTCACTGAATATTTACTGTGTGTCAGCTCATCAACCCTAAGAAATTATGAATATTCTCAGTTTACAGATGAAAAAACTTAAAATACAGAGAAACTTGGGCCCAAGGTTATAGAGCTTATGTATGATCAAACTAAGATATGTTCCAAACCACTTGCCTATTTCTTTCATCAGCATATCTATCTTGAGAATAAAGTAACCTGTTGTCAACCTGGAAATGTATCTACTAGTGTGTATTTATGGAAAACAGGTATACCTTTCCTAGGTGAGAAAATCTATAATTCTTCTTAAGTATTTAGTCTGGATGGTGCTACTTTTGTTTTAAAAAGCTATTAACAGAGTTTTATTTCTTATACTGGCATTATTCTATTACAATTCTTTACACTGAATATGTACATATTTTGTATATATTATATTTTATAATTTTAGAAATACAATCTTTATGCACAGATTACCTCTTTTTCCTGCTGTTTGTTATTTTCAAATGTCTCAGGTTTCTGCTAAAAAAAAAAAATAACATGGTGAAAACATGACAAAATCTGTAAAAATTAAATATAGCAAATTTTGAAAATATGTAAATTTAAATATAAGGGTTTTACTTCACTTATGTGAGATATAAAACTGAACTCACAGACACACAATCATATGTTGGGTACCAGAGGTTGGAGGATAGTAAAGAACAAAGGGGGCCAAATACATGGTGACAGAAGGTGATTTGACTTTGGGTGGTGGGCGCACATGCAATATACAGATCATGTATCAGAGAAATGTACATATGAAACTCATATGATCTTATGAACCAATGTCACCTCAATAAACTTAATAAAAATAAATAATTTTACTTTGTTGATGTGCATAATAGATTCCTTCAGAAAAATAAAAATTATATTGTTTTCACAAAAAATTTTTATTTCCTGTGAATCAGAAAATAAAGGCCTTTAAAAGGTAATGTGGACACCTTGCTTTTAATATCATTAAAAACTCAGGATAATTACTGAAACTCATATGCTGGGCTGTTGTGCAAAAGCCTCTTCTATAATAAAGACGACGTAGTCAAGGAAGAAAAGAAAATTAGTGAACATGGTACAAAAAGAGGCATTTGATAGAAGCTAAATTTTCCCTCTCACTTTGTTCTTTTCCTATGACAACAAATAATCTCCTAGACACCATCTGATTCTAAAAGAATAGCATACATTACTATTAATATAATCTGTTAATTATTCTTAGTTCACTTGTTATGTTCAGGCTTCATATTAATTGTAAGAAGTAAATACTTTCCCTAAGGATCTGATAACCTTTGTGAAGAAATAAAGTGTACCCAGGTACCATTTAGCAGGTAATGACCGACCCCCAAAAGTGGTGCATGTGTGAATATCAACCTGACCCTCCCAGGCAGATTTAAGACTAAAACTGAGCCTCTGTGCCTCTTATTTACTGAAGTGACCATTGGAATAACCAAATGTGTCCCTTTGCATGTCTGCCCACCCTCTGTGTTGCCATTCTTTCCTATGGGCATCTGCTCTTCAGATTGTACCACATCTCCTAGTCAAAGTCTGATCCACAGAGGTGCTCAATAAATGTCACAGCAGTGAATGAGGTCAGCGCAGAGACCTCAAGACAGAGGGAAGACTGTACAGTTCACTTAAGGAAGAGAATTGGAGCAGAGTGACACAATTTCAGGTAGCAAGCCAGCATGGAAAGTACTTGAAGAGTGGATTCTGTAGACATTTATTTTTGCCTTAAACAAATACAATGTAAATTTACATCTGAATTTATATCTCAGAACTAGCTGCATAGACTTAAATGCCCTAAAGTGACACAGTATAAAAGGTATCCAGCATGTACTGTTCCAAAATGGAAAATTGCCTCAGAATGAACATTGTCTTACCTCACTGCCCTCAATGTCTTCTACAGTCTGTAAAGGAAAAAGCAAAATCAACATCTGAATCGTCAAAGAATCTTATAATTTTTTTAAGGTTTTTGAAACATCAATGTGGGAGAAAAACATTGATCAGCTGCCTCCCGCCCACAGGGAACAGAAACCAAACCCACAATATTATGGTGTATGGGAGGACACTCCAACCAACTGAACCAAACCAGCCGTGGCAGAATGTTACTATTTATGGTTAGAAAATTTTTCTGAATAAAATATCTTACCACACTGGTTATGCTGAGTTGTTCCTTCTGTAAAGAAACAGAAAAAACAACAATCATTATATAGTTTCCATAGCTAATTCATTTTTCCTAATACTTTTACCTTCTTTGTGCAGAGCTATCTCCTTCACAAATTTAAAAAATAAAAAATGTTGTATGTCTTTTGGAAGTCTTGAAGGGTAATGGTGTTTTATGTCCTCTATATTTGTTAACTCGAATGATACGTTTTTATTTTACCTAAATGAAGAACAATGTTTGATGAGTAACAGAAAGGGAGTTATTTCAGTTTGTATCAAGCACTTTTTATGTTACAAATATGTTCATGGTTATGATTATTGCCTGATGCTCCATCCTCTGGATGTCTTTAGATAGACTCGGGTAGAATTTGGCCCATTGCCCTAGGATAAGAGGTACATAAGTTTCATGACTAAAATAAGATGTATTTATCTAGGTTGCACATGCATGCAGTTGTATTTGTGCACCATTACTCTTTTTTGTTGTTTTTATATTTGTTTCTTCTTGTTTTGTCTGTTGTTTAGTGGTTTGCTCTTTCTTTAGCAATGGGTTGCACAGAGCAGTAGAAAGCATTGAACCCAGATTTGTGGCTCTACAGGGCTCTATTGAAATAATGGGTGAATGTCAATGATATCCTTAGCAGTAAATAAAAATATTTTGAAATTTTGCTTTATTTGTGCATTTCAAATGTTTCTGATATGTCTGGCCAGGGTGGCTCAGAGGACTGAGTGTTGTCCCCTGGACTGAGAAGTCCTGGTTCAATTTTGGTCAGAGCACAAGCCCGGGATGTGGGCTGGATCCCCAGGAGGGAGTGTGCAGGAAGCAACAGATCCGTTTCTCTTTCACGACAATGTTTTTATCTTGTGCCCTTCCTCTCTCTAAAAATTCAATCATTTAAAAAAATACATTAAAATGTTTCTGATGTTGTTCTCTATACATGGGATGATTTTCACTATATGTTAATATTTCAGAGATTTTCTTACCTCCTCTGCAAGAGCAAGAGCCACCAGACAGGCAAGGATGAGGACCTTCATGGCTCCCAAGTCCTGTGAATGGGAAAAGGAGAAAATGATATTATCATTGTCAATCTAACATACTTTCTTATTTAGATGGGATTATATTTTTAAAGAAACCAAAATAATTTAAAATTAAAATATCTGCATTTTAGAAAAAAGATGAATAGAAATATTTTCATAAACCAAAGACAAAATCTACTATGGCAACCTAGTCTTACATATCAATTACACACTTCAATGCCAGCCATTCAGAATTTTTCTGCTGTCAGTTGCACCCTACCTCACTCTTTTTCTTTTTATTTACAGTAAAATATGTTTGTTTGAAAGACAGAAAGAAGTTTTAATTGTCTGCATAAAGCTTTGTTAATTGATTCATTTATTTAAAATGAGTAATATTTATTTAGCACCCTAATAGCCCAATGCTGTCTAGGGTCTGGGTTTTAAAGTAGTGAACAGAACATCAATGGCTTGGCCCTGGTGAATCCTCTGATTGATTCGGAATAGACTGATTGAAGAAAATATACACATAAAGATCATATTTTATTTTCACATTTACGTTAGTAAAATAAACAGTTTTCATGAACATTTGGTTTAATCATATGTCCTTATTTCTAGTAAGACTGAGATTTTTATTTGAGCATGTCATTTGTTTGCTCTGCTTATCCAGATGTTTTCTTAGACCAGTAAGTTCATTTTTCTCTCTGTAAGTACCCACTACACAATCTTCATTCCCACACACCTAATGATCTATTCTCCACTGTGACATATAACTTTACAGAATACACTATGTCTTTTCCTTTTCCTCACATCTCTTGTTAATTTACAAAAGGATCGGTTTCTCTCACCCAGTCCCCACTGCAGACTACTCCTTCTTGTAGCATAACATAAAAAATGTGATAAATGCTTTATTTTGTTTTATCTCTATGATCTCTAGTAAAAAAAAATAATGTTTGTGCTACCAATATACCGTGGCATATAATTTTCAGTCTCATATTTGTAAACTAAATTTCTGAACTATAAATATTTCATGAAAAAAGCCTCTAATTGATCAGAAAAAATTGTTTCCAATGTTTTATGGTTGAAATATTTCTCTTTATTAAGAAAAATGTTTTCTATATATTTCTCATGGTTGCTATATAATTATTTTTAATTAAACTTATTGGGGTGACATTGCTTAAGAAAATTATATATGTTTCAAGTATACAATTCTATAATACATCATCTGTGTTTTGCACTGTATATTTACCAGTCAATGTCAAATCTCCTTCATGACCATATGACATATTTGACTGCCTTTACCATTTACTACCTCCCCACACTCTTTTCCCTGTGATAATCACCATACTGTTGTCTGTGTCTATGAGTTTTTGTTGTCTTGCTTATTTGTTGCTTTCAGTTTTCTATCCCACATATGAGTGAAATTACATGGTTCTTGAATTTGTCTATCTGACTGACTTGACCTATTATAATATTCTTAAGATCCATCCACGTTCTCACACACAGCAGTATTAATTTTACTTTGCATAAGACCTCCATAAGTCTCCAAATAATTCCTTTTATTGTCAGTTTTCCAAACAAATATTATACTATATTAGAGATGATTATGGTTAGAAAAGATCTCATTATATTTTCCCAGTTTTATAATTAACATTTTTTACACCATTTTGAAACCAGAATTTTATTATTGACTAATATATTCTAAGATATTCCTGCTTTCAAATCTTTTTCTTGTGTTTTTGTTTTCATGTCATTTCTATCTCTTCTAGAATTTTCTTACAAAGTAAAACCTTGTTTGGTTTTAACTGAATTCTGTATTTTAGTGTCTTTTTTAATAATATTTTTGAAATCAAATGACTTGAACAATAAAATGGGCTGTTGCATTTTGTAAACAAGTTCAATGAATATCCTCTTTTTAAAAAATTACTCATAAGCATTTCAAGTAGTATGTGTTCCCAAAGACCTCCCATAATTTATATCTTGATTCATTATGCTGCTTCTAGAACTACTTGTTGAATAATGCTTTCCCAGTAATTATTTATATTCCCTTTTAATTATTTAAATATACTTGCTTTCATTACTGTGGTATGTTTAATAAAATTGACAGATATTTAATTCAGAAAAGAATATTCTAAAGATTTTTGTGGTTTTTTTAAAATTTTTTATTTATTAAGAGTGAGAAAGAGAGACATTGATATGTTCCATTTATTTGTGCATTAATTACCTGATTCTTGTATGTGTCTTCACCAGAGTTCAAGCCTGCGACTTTGGCATATTGGGACAATGCTCTAACCAACTAAGCTACATGGCCAGTGCCAGAAAATAAACCTTTTAATATGGTCTGTAAACTAGCCTCATACTAACAAGATATTAATCACAATCACTATACTTTTTTGAACTCATAAAGCTTACATAGTCATTATAATATTTACTAAATCTTTATAGGCACTTTTACTATTTTACCTAAGTTTCAAAAATAATGTCAGCATTACTTTATACTTTTATTTTAAAAACTATATTTTAAAAATTATTTTCTTCATATATCTCGATTGAGTTTGAGACAAAGCTAGAAAAAGAGATGCATCAATTTATATCCGAATTCCTTACCTTTTTTCCAAAGTGGAGGACCGACGAGAACGAAGAGCTAAGTGGATGGTGGTCTGTCTGCTTCTGTGGCTATTTATATACTCTAATCAATGGCATACTGTGGTTGAAAAAAATCAACAGTGAGTTTTAATTCTAAGAAATCAGATGATTAGAAGATGATTTCTGCCTACTGCCTGTCCCCAGAAATGCTGGGGGGCATTTGAACAAGGGAGCAATTCACATCTGATGAAGGAAATCTGTCCAGGAAATGCAAATGTCTAATAACTAAAGACAATCACTGGAGAACAATGATCTTGTGGCTCAGTGCCCAGTTTATTGAGGACACAATTAGGTCTCTAGTACTTGGTGGGTCCTCAAGATTTCCATTGTAGGGGAATGCTGTAGGAGCACGAGAGATACATGGGGGTTTCACAAAGGCCATAACTGCATGCATGCTAACTGAGCAGTTGTTAGGCTTTTATGCTGCAATGGAGAAAAATGTCAAATTAACAAATCCATGATGGTGGCTTCGTCATGCAGTCAAATTTCTGAGCTCTCAGGGCCACTTGATTTGGGAACAATAAAACATTAACTTAAAACCAATATCTTGTATACAAGAGGAATAAGCCGGACTCTGTAAAGAAACATTCAAAAAAAAAAAAAAAAGAAATCTGGATGTCTGCATTAGGCAAAAATCCTTGGTATATCTGTTATAAAAGGCCTGGCTAGTGTGGTCTGGGCTTTGAGTATTGTCCCATGCACTGAGAGGTCCGGTTTGATTCCAGGTCAGGGCACATGCCTGAGTTGCAAGCTCAATCTCTGGTGTGGTGTGTGCAGGAGGCAGCCAGTTCATGTTTCTCTCTCATCAATGTTTCTATCTCTCCCCCCATCTCCCTTCCTCTCTCTTTAAAAAAATCAATAAAAGTATATTTTAAAAAAGAGAGAATGAGTACAATTTTGAGACATGATTAAATGGGAAAAAATTAATTTGGCTGAGGAAGATCTAGGTGCTTGAACAGTAATATACCACATTTGCTCGATTCTGTATTTTAGGAAACAGAGGATATAGGGTATGAATCATTGTTACAGGGGGTTGATAGAGTCAGTTCATGGATGCTTCTGAACTTCAGATGTGTATTTGCTCAAGGAAGTTATACGTACAACTGTAGGAATAAACTTTATCTGGCAAAGGAATAATTAAAATTTCTTAAGGAAAAGTGGCAAGTATAAAGAGAAATTGTCTGAGAACACAAGAATACCCCATTGTTCAGAGGCTGTTACAACAAAGGTAAATAGGAACAAATACAGAATATCAAAAAGAATAGAGGGTAATGGGAGCGTTAGGAAGAAATGGCTAGAAAAAAACAAGCAGTGGCAAAGTGAAAATGCTACACAGACACAGAATAAAGTAAAAACAGAGAAGAGATTTTTGACAAATGTAGTCGTTATAACTATAACCATTGAGATACACTCCAAGTACTTAAGAAGTAATGAGTGAGGAATAAAAAGCAATACTACTCTTCTGAAATTTTACAAGAAGAACTAAGGACACCTGTGGAATGAGATCTACGACTCTAGGAACAACTAGACTCACACAAAGATAATTTTAGGATAGAGATTTTAGCTTAAAAAAAGAGGTCATTAGTGAGAAATGGCTGAAATACACCAAACGAGTGGGGAATCAATTGATGGAGCAAGTTCCAGTAGGATCATAGTTGCAATCTAAAGAATGTACCGGTTTTTCTGAGAATGAAGAAAAAGAGAAGATGAGTAAGTATAATAGATACTTAGAAATTCAGGGTACAAATGTTAAAATGAAATGGTCGTACTTTTTTTTTTTTTTCAATCCTCACTCATGGATATTTTTCCATCTATCTCAGATAAAGTAAGATGAAGGGAAGAAAGGTGGGGAGATAGAGAGAGAAAAACATAGAGACACATTGACTAGTTGCCTTTCACATGACCCCGACCAGGGCTAGGATGAACCACAACAAATGTATGTGCCTTCACCGGAATTGAACCCACAACTCCTTGGTCCGTGGGCCAACGCTCTAACCACTGAGCCAAACTGGCCAGGGGAAACTGTCTTACTTTTTGAGTCAGGTGCAAGATGGAGTTTTCAACAGACAGTGAGGGAAGTGGATACAAATCTGGGATATTTAGAAGAGGTAACATTTTTGGTTGCTGTGAAAATAAAAATGAATAGATAGATTCACAGCGGTAGAAGTCAACTTGTTTTCTTTACCCAAGTAGATGTATGCCAAGATGTTTGCAGTATAAAATCAAGAGAATTTTGGGGGTAGGGACAGGGAATTGAATTTTTTTTTTTTACTAAAATGGCTAATCATGAAGTGTTGATTGAGCTGGGAGGGAGGAGATGGCGGTTGTTGAGTGATAAACCAGAATCCCCAAAAGGGCTTGAATGGCAACAGATA